ATTCCTATTCTCTACAGAGAAGACAGGTTATATTTATTTTAAAGGAAGACAAAGAAAAAGATCATTAGCTCACTCTTGTTCTATGAGATTTAAAGTAGTTTGATAGTGCTAAAATTCTATAAACCTTTACTGTCAATGCCAGAAATGGAGTGACATACTTCAGTGTTTAAAACTGTGAATGTGTGTAGTTCATGACTACATCCCTCCAATGATGAAAATTTTAGTGGTAATTGAAATGAAAAATTATGTTACTATTTCCTGTACTCAGAATTAACATTAATATCTCTGTCTAAAAGAGGCATTACAGAGTGAAATTCTCAGAAGACACAGCCCTTTTGAAAAATAAAATCCTACATAAATGGAGATATTAATGCACTGATTTCCACATGAAGTAATTTTGCCCCCAGGGGATGTTTAGTCATATCTATAGACAAATTGGTCATCACTACTTGAGAGTGCTACTGGCACCTAGTGGGTAGGGGGCCAGAAATATTGAAAATGATGAAAAAGCAGGCTAAAGATTATTTTCTGAAAATAGCCCAAAACCATGCTTAAGAACTGAATCAAGTTACTAAACTAAATACTGGGCCTCCCCTGGTGGCGCAGGCGGTTGAGCGCCACACTGTGAAGCTGTCAGCAGTCTCTGCAGCGCCGGTTCAATCTCTGCCGGCCAGCGAGGGTCCCACATGGCACTTGAAGACCTCTCCTGTCACGCCTGCTGCTCCCCTCAGTAGTGTGTTTCAGTCAGTCTGCCTGTTCTGTTCCCTGCTCTGTCTCTGGTGAATTCTTTCACCCCCCTGCGCATCTGGCCTGTACCCCCGTTCTTGTATAAATAAATAAATAAATCTTAAAAAAAATTTTAACTAAATACTGATCAACTCCGCTGCTCCTTACACGTAAGTCCACTTGCTGGAACAGTTGCTGTGGTGGCCACTATATCAGTGTGATGCACAAGATTACACTCTCGCTTAAAACAACAAAACCTTTCTCACTCATACTACTTGCCCATCACTGGTTGCAAGTGATTCTGCTCCACCTTGTACCCTCTCTCGAACCAAGGTTGATAAAAGCCATTATTGAGAACTTTGCTATTCAGAGAGAAACAGCTCCAAAGAGTCTTAGGCCAGCTATTAATCACTGGACCAGAGGAAATATCTGCACTTCCACTTAGAACTCAAAAGTTGGAACTAGGCACCTACCTCTATAAGGGCAAGGAGGCCAGCAAATGTAACCTGCTGCAGTGGGCCTTGTTGCCCCTGCCAGATCAGAAAGACACTGGCAAGCAGCTAATTTAAAGGGCCTCACACCGTGGGACTGAAGATTCCTTGTGCCTCACACCATGGGGCTGAAGATCTAACATTCCTTTATTTTTTGTTCTTGGTCATAAAAAGAGAAAAATTTCCCAAAAAAGTACATTAGGCAATAAATTATATGCATCAGTACACTGCAAATAAACGGCACGGAAAATAATATGTTTAGAAAATTAGTTATTAAACAATTTGGCCCACTTGACAATGGGAGACAATTTATTGTACATATCTGACAAGCAATCCAGCACAACTATTATAGTAAGTCCTTCTTTTGCTTTTTTAAGAAGTTTCTTAGGAAAGTTTTTAAATGAAGTTAACTGTGTTAAGAAGTTTCTAGGTAGAAATAGTTCTGATAGCTGAGAAGCAGCTGGTCTCCAGCTGAAGGCCATATGAATAGAAGAGTCTTTTGATGCTTAGGCTTTAGCTGATAGGGATGTACTGGCGGCTATCAACTGTCTTAGGTAATTGTCTAGCTGAAATAATAAGTTTTAGTGTTAGGTTTGTTTTTTTTATCTATTAACCTTGAAGGCTACCGTCTAGCTGAGACCTGTAGAAGCCAGTAGTCCATGGGAATAAAATACACTAATTGTTTCTGCTTTGCACATGATGATGTAATGTTTCTGATTACCAAAAATGAATAAATAAAGACCTGCTGAGTCTCTCGGCAGAAGAGATTTGCACCCCATCCAGTGTCAGTGTCTCCTCAATCCCCTTCCCTTCAGCCCCTTACAGGTCGCCTAGGCCATCTAGGCGACACAAAAAAAAGAACACAAAAAATCCATAAACAATCATATGCAGGATATCCCCAAAATGGAATAAATCCACAGGAATGTGCCTTTTGAAGAATTTGTGTTCTTACCACATATGTCCTTTTGAGTTTCTGCTGTGCATTACCCTAAATGGTCAGATCAATAAGCCCTAGACTAATTCCCTGGATTTCTAATCAAAGTTAATCAGCGCAGCAATGACATGGAGAAAATAAGTTGGATTAGGAGGAAGAATTGGCTTTAAGACACCAAAAGGAACACAGGGAAAGCGTGCCTAAAGTGACTGTGTCAACTTGATATTGGGTCTCCTAAGAGCAGAACACAAGAGAGAGCTCAGAGCAGAGATGAGAAAATTGTAAAAGACTAGTTTATATTTGTGGAAATGATCTCTGCAATAGCCAGAGGCAATCTGCAATTGGCACCTTGGTGCTGGTCAGGAATATTTTTTTTTTTTTTTTTTTTTTTTTTTTTATAGAGGCATGCTTTATTTATTTGTTTGCTGGTTTGTTTGTTTTGTTTATACATGCACTGGGTACAGTCAGAAGCGCGGGAGGGTGAGAGAATTCACCAGAGCCAGAGCGGGGAGCAGAGCAGGCAGAAGGACCGAAGTACACTGCTGAGGGGAGCAGCGGGCGGCAGGAGAAGTCTGCACGCCATGTGGGACCCTCCTCCGGTGGCCGGGGAGCAGCCGGGGATCGAACCGGCGCCGCAGAGGCCGCGGGCAGCTTCGCAACCCAGCGCTCAACCGCTGCGCCACCGGGGAGGCCCCTGGTCAGGAATATTAAAAGCTGCCCAGAGGCTGCAATAAACTGTACTCTTGACACACCCAGAGGGAGCCATTTCCATCCTCAATCTAGATGATTTTATCTTCCTCTCTGACTACAGGTTCCTTTTATTCCTTTTCATTTCCTGACACTCCTACTTTTCAATGGAAAAGAATATGCAAAAAAAAAAAAAGAAGAAATAAAAAGTTGAAATTATTAAAGTCTATTAGAATAACTCAAGAAGTGAATTACATATGGTCAAATATTTCATATTACCTAACTGTGCATGGATTTTGTCTTTGAAGTTTTTGGCTGAAAGGGATTACTCTAATTACAGAACTTCCCAACAGTAATAAGAAAGTTATATTTTATTATATGAAACTTTCATAAGTACACATATTATGAAACCCGGCATATGACTCTAGTTATCCCTTTTATTCAAATGGAATTAATAGTCTTTCTTAAACCTTTCTTGCCATTGATATAACTTTTGTTTTACATACTTCAATATGTGCATTAGAAAAATCTTACACACTTGGAATTTTTTCAATTCATCTGGCTGAAGGAAGTTTTGAAAGTAACTTTTATTTTAAAATAAAGTGTTTGTACTTATATAAAAAAAGGCCATTTAGATTAGACAAAAAGAATCATCTGTTTCCTAGCATGAAAGCATATTCTTTTTACATTTTAATTACGTGTGTTGGGGTGAGTGTGTGTGTGTGTCTATGTGAGAGTACATAGGACATCTATATAGGTAAAATATATAAATACACATGCATGAATAAATATTTGTATTTTACCCTATTGGATTAACAATGACTGATTACTGAATGTGCAATAGAGCTGTGTACAACATCTACATTATCCTTAAAAAATGAGGCACTAGTCTTCTCAGATGCTAAGAGGGTTAACTGCTTCAGTAATCAGCTGACACTTTGTCAAAGAAGCACCTCTCCCCTCCCCAGACAGAGAGAGAACTGGTTCATCAAAATCAGGGTCCTTCCACTGCTCTCACACACAACTACCAATTGTTCATTGTAGGGACTTTAAATTCCAATCACCTTGCTTTTCAATTCAGGACATTTCCCCCAGCTTCAGAGCTCCTGGTAGGGTAAGCTGAGATCTTTGTATGACCACATCACATCTGCATCACGTTTTAACTCTTCTCTCAGCCAAATCTATTTCCTCTGCTTCCTCTCTGGTGCTAATCTCAGGGGTACCCTCTCTTCTTGAATGAATTCAAAACCTCTTCCCTGGGGAACCTAACCTAAAACAACATAAGTGTTTTTACATATCATTACAAACATTTCCTTGGGTAGTTCATAACTTTTCTATGCTTCAGTTTTCTCATCTATAAATTGAAGAAACAAAAGTACCTATTTCAAAGACTTATTCTTACAATGAAAAGCGATAACACAGTAAAGATTTTAGACTAGTACTTGGTGTCTAATAATAGTATTTAATAAAATATTACCCAGTATTATCATTTTGAGAGTTACTTAAATATTTTTCAAATGAATGAGTCATAATGTACATAGTCAACAAATTTAGAGTTTAATTAGAATCCTTATTTTAATATTTATTCAGCTATGAACTTATTTATGCATAATATTTTTACTCAAGGTTCAAGGATACACATATTTAAAAATAAAGTATATTTTACAATTACAAACCAATAAATGTCCATTATAGAATTTTTAATTATGAAAAAGTAGACAGTGGTTTTTAAAAGAAAACTACAATTTATAATTTTATGATGTGACAATTATAAAATGATTGGTTGCATAATATCCTCACATATTGATAAGATGCAATCATCAAGATGTTATGTTAATGAAAAACACAAGCTGGAGAACACTGTTTATTGACTATTCAAGTGTCTGTATTTTTTAAACAAAGCTATTATTATGCACACTCAAGCTTGGACATACATAAAATATTTCTGGATGTACATAAAATATATCTTCTCCAGGTAGAAGATGTAAGAACCTGGTAGAAGACTTCTTTTTTATTATATATGCTATTAAATTATTTTTGGATGTTACAATATGCCCATACTAAAAGGTTCTTTTTAAGTATAAACAACAAACTTAAAACATTTTATAAATTTAGGTTGAAGGAGATATAAATAAAGGAGAAAACAGATAAATGCTCTTGATACTACATTTTAATAGGAAACACATGGGAATATCTATATTCCTGAGTTCTCGCCAGCATTCAGTATTCACAAGTTTTCATTTCTTGTTAATTTTTTAGGCAAAACATGTCTCACTATCATTTTATCTTTCTTAGTAGAGTTAAACTATTAAATTATATTTGAAGCAGAACTTCAGGCTATGGAAACATGGAATAGTCAATAAATCTTCCCAACCTAAAAAAAAAACAAAAACAAAACTATATAACTGAGCAATGTCTGTGAAGTGAGTAAATAACAGAAAGATGCTTATGCATGAAGACTTGCTAGAATACCAAGTAAGAATGGCAGGAATCTGAGTTCTTCTAGGCTAAAGCGGCCCCCTTCCCCTGCCCACAGTCTAGAAAGGCTCAAAAGGATATGGTATGACAAAAGAAAAATTCAATGAACTGGAAGATAAATCAGTAGAGATGATCCAATCTAAAGAACAGGAAGAAAAAGAAAAGAAAAATGAGCAGTACTTCAGTGCACTGTGAAACAACATCATATTTACAACTTCCATATTTACAATGGAGATTTCAAGAGATGAGAGAAAGAGCAGAAAAATAATCAAAGAAATAATGAAGCAAATACCCTAAATGTGACAAAAAGCATTAATGAAAATAATCAAGAACTTCAAATATTCCAAATAATAAACATAGAGTATAAACAGAGCCATAACTAGGTGCATTTGTCTAGTTACTAAAAGCCAAAAAATGTCATCAATATTTGTAATAATTATATTACATGTCTTAGGAATAAATATGATTGAAATGCAGAAATTGTTAAAATGAATAAAAAGGCAAGACAAATATATTCAAAAGACATACTTTTATATTGAAGGCACAAACAGGATAAAAGTAAAAGGATGGAAAGAGATAACATCAGGCAAACAGATTCAAAAGTGACTGGGGTAGCTATAATAATGTCATACAAAATGAACATTAAGTTGAAAAAAATTATTAGGAAAAAAGGGAGATATTTCCCTTTCTTTGATAAGGGGGCATCAAAAAAAAAATGACATGAATGTATATGTAGCTAGCAGCAGGAACCCCAAAGTACAGAAACAAAATTGACATATTTGAAAGCCTCCCTGGTGGCGCAGCAGTTAAGTGCTGGATTACAAAGCAGCCCACAGCCTCTGCAGCACCAGTTTGATCCCCGGCCATCAGGAGGGTCCCACATGGTGCGCAGACCTCTTCTGCCACCCGCTGCTCCCCTCAGCAGTGTACTTCATCCGTCTGCCTGTTCTGCTCTCTGCTCTGGCTCTGGTAAATTCTCTCACCCTCCCACGCTTCTGACTGTACCCAGTGCTTGCATAAATAAATAAATAAATCTTTAAAAAAAATTGACATATTTGAAAGCAAAAATAAGAAATTCAAATTTTTTTCTGGAAATTTCAATGTTGCCTTCAATAGTTGATAAAACTACTAAACATAAAAGCAGCAAATATTAAACAACAAAGTGAACATCCTAACCTGTACTTTAGAGCACTCTATGTAACACCACAAGAACATCTCTTCTTTGATATAGAATATTAAGAGAACGAAAAAATACAAAGTGGGAAGGCAGCAAATAAAGTATGGGTGCTTTGGCGGTGGGAGTGCTATGGTAACATCACCAAAAAGTTGGGGAGGGGTGTTTCTATCCTTCAAAATACAACAACAATGTAAACCAACATTATCTCAATAAAAAAATAAGTAATTTTCAAAAACAAACAAAAAAATATATTCTTTTCATACACAAATGAATCATTACCCACATTAGACTATATTCTAGTTGATAAAATAACTCTAATATATATCATTAATTATCTTTTCATATATTGAATCCATTTATCAATTTGAATAAATTTCTTATACAATAATTATACTAAACTCTGTCTTTTGATATTTACTGCATATATTTTCCAATCTGTCTTTGTTATTTTACTAATTGTATTTAATATTTATTTTTGGTTTTTTTCTTGCTTCCCCACCCTCACCCCTTTCTTACACATATCCCCTAAGTAATACTTATTTTTTTTTTTTGTTTCTTAGAAGTACTGACACTTTCCTTCAAACTTCTAACATTTATCTTCTTAGAAATTCTCACTTCAGAGGATTTATAAAATTAACTTCTATTTTTTTGAAAGACAATTAACTTTTTTTTGAAAGACATGTTTTCATTATTTAAGTCTTCTTTTCTACTGCTTTCACCTTTGTTTTTTAATTGAGTTAACATAGATATGTTTAACAAAGGTAACAACACCACATATGCCTGAGAGGTAGAGGATCTCATATTTCAGATATATGTTACCACAACACAACCACCAACGTACCTATATATTCCTCAACCATAATCCAGTGGATTTCTTCCATGCTTTGCTCTCCGCCCTCCCCCTCAACTGCTAGAAGCCTCAATCTTGCATTCATATTTCTAGGGTTTGTTTATTGTTTCACTTTGGCTTATCCTTTGTTCTGTTTCTCTAGATTTCACATATGAGTGAAACCATCCAGTATTTGACTTTCTTCTTCTGATTTATTTCATTTGGCATTATCCACTCTAGTTTCATCCATGTTGTTGCAATGGCAAGATTTCACTCTTTTTATAGTTGCATTGTATCCCAATATGTATATGTACCATATCCTTAATCCACTTATCTGTGCTTGGACACTTAGTTTGAAAACATAAATTTGCATTATAAATAGTGCCACAGTGAACATTGGAGTAATGTATCCTTATGATTTAGAGTTTTTACATTCTCTAGGTAGATACACAGAGGTGAAATTTCTGGGTCATGTGGTAGATCTTATGATAAATCTATCCATGTTTTTAGAAACATCCATACTACTTTCCTAGGTACTAGAACCATTCTGTATCCCCACCAACAGTGTAAAGTTCCTTTTCCTCCACATACTTGCCAACACCTGTTATTTCTGGTCTCACCAGTAAGAGACACTGACTTATTGTGGTTTTCGCTTGCATATCCTTGATAATAAGCGATGATGATCATTTTATTTATGTTCCTGTTGGCCATATGTATGTGTTCTTTGGAAAGTGTCTATTTAGCTCTTCTGACCATTTTTTATTGGGTTTTTTTGGCTTAGTTGTGTTTTGTTTTAGTTTTTGCTTTATTAAGTTGTATGACTTATTTGTAGATCTTGTATATTAACCCATTATCAGATTCATGTGTAAGTATTTTCCCCATTCAGTAAGTGTCAATTATTTTTAATAATAGTCTATTTACTTTGTAAAAGTTTAGTTTGAAGTAATCCCATTTGTTTATTTTTTGTTTTGTTTCCCTTAATGTTGGAGTTGAGTTCCCAAATACAACAAAGAAGGCAATGTTGTGGAATATTTTGCCTGTGTTTTCTTCCAAGTATTTTATGGATTTCAGTTTTAAATCAAGTCTTTAATCCATTTTGAGTCAAAAATTTTATATGGTATGAGATAATTACCTATTTTTTGTGCTTTAGCATCGGTTTTTCCAAAACCATTTGTAAAAGAAATTTCTCCATTGCATAAGTAATGCTTTTATGGTTAGCATTTTTAAAGTAACTGTCAATATAAGTGTTAGTATATATCTGGGCTGTCAGTAGCATATGATTGACCATGTGTCTGGTTTTAGTTCAATACCATAAGTTTTGATTACAACAGTTCTGTAGAATAGTTTAAAGTCTTGGAGTCATGTACTCCCATTGTTCATTTTTGTCAGGATTGCTTTGGCTAGTCACAGACTTTTGTGGTTCCATATGAGTTTCTGTAATGTTTGTTCTATTTCTTTGAACAATACCATTAAAATTTGATAAGAATTGCACTGAATCTTCATATTCATTAATGAAATAGTAAGAGTTTTCATTATGTGGGTCCTTTACCTCCTTTGTGCTGTTTATAAGTAGGTATTTAATTATTTTGATGTGATAGTAAATGGCATTGATTTGTTAATTTCTTTGTCTTGTATTTCATCATTTGTACACAGTAATACAACTGACTTTTGTAAATAGATTTCGTATCCTATGAATTTACTGTACTGATTGATAGGTTTTAATAACCTTTTAATGGAGTCTTGAGGGTTTTCTCTATAAATTATTGTGTCATCTGCAAATAGTGATAGTTTTAGTTCTTCTTTCCCAGTTTGGATTTCTTTTATAGCTTTTGTTTTCTAATTACTCTATCTGGAACAACCAATATTATGTTAAATAGTAGTGGTGGGAGTGGACATCCTTGTCTTTTACATGATTTTAAAGAAAAACATCATTTTTTCACCATTGTGTATGATATTAGTTGTGGTTCTGCCCTATAAGGCCTATAATATATTGAAGTATGCTGCATCTGTCCCATTTTATATGAATTTTTATCACAAATCAATCTTGAATCTTGTCATAGTCTTTCTGCATCTAATGATATACTATGATTTCTATGGTTTCCAGTTGTTGATGTGTTGAATTACATTGATTGATTTTCAGATGTTGAGCTATTCATGCATTTTTGTAGTAAATCACTCTTGGTCAAGATACACAATATTTTTAATGATTTTTTTAAAGAATTTCTGTACCTATGTTCAACAGGGATATATAAATTTTTTTGTGACTTACTTGTCTGCTTTTGTTATCCAATTAATGTTGACCTCATAAACTGTGATTGAAAGCATTCCTTCTTCCTCAGTTTTTTGGAAGAATTTGAGAAGAGTAAGAGTTATTTCATCTTTGAAGTTTATGTAGAATTCACAAAGGAATACTTCTGGTCCTCAGCTTTTGTTTTCTGGGGTAATTTTGTTTATAGTTTTAATTTCCTTGCTTTTAATTTGTCTGTTTAAGTTTTGTATTTTTTCCTCATTCATTCTTAGAAAGTTGTATAATTCTAGGAATTTATCCATTTCTTATAGGTTGTTTAATTTATTGGTAGATAGATGTTCATAATAGTCTCATGATCCTCTCTATTTCTCAGATGTCTATTGTAACTTCTTCTATTTCATTTCTTAATCTATTCTTAGATTTTTTTTCCCTTTTTTATCTTTAAGGACATATCTAGAGATATGTCTACTTTAGTTTTTCAAAGGCTCCTTTAATTCTTTGGGTGTTATTATTTATATTTTGTTTATTTCTGCTCAAATATGTATTGCTTCACTCCTTCTATTGGCTTTGTTTTTTTTTTTTAATTGGAGAAAGTGCATTTTTATTTTTTTTATTTTTTATTCTTTTAAAATATTTTATTTT